AAAGCCTGGTTAATAATGGCCATCTGGGTGAACATTGATTATCTACTGGGCAATCTAGCACCAACTTTTTAAATTGCAAGTGCAAAGCAATTTATAGCTTTAACTTTTATCTGTGATCTCTTCTGAGCTGGTGCAATGGATGGGTGAACTATTTGTGAATTATGAACACACTTGTGCAGTGAGAGGATATTAAAATTCATGACTCCAGTAGGGCCTTTTAAACTATCAAGAACATTTTATATCAAGATTTTACAAGGTCAGGAAACTGAACATTAATGTGCCAGCATGTTACATATGTTCACTATATCCCATCAAAATGACCCTGTTGACACAATGATTCTCAATGATTCAATGATTCTTATGAATATTCTTCCCATAATATAACCCCTTTTCTGTGATTTGTCAGCAGTGCTGTCTATACCAGGGGTGCCAAGCACCATAGCCAGGGTCACACTGCCCCCCAAGGGTATGGACCAATCCCAGAAGGGAGACAGAGAACAAAGAGGACATGAATTGGTATAAAATGTGCATGAGATGCTTATTTATTTATTATAAATAGAAATACCATAAATCTCACCATAGTGCTGGATAGTATGATCAGGTGTCTAGGTCTGCCTGTTCAGTCCACTATATAGGTGCTAACTGTTTATGGGTAAAATTGTCCCACATGCCAGGACAGCAGCCATCACGACCCCCTGAAAGACCAGATTGAATTTTATTGACCAAAGACCATCACCACTCATTCTGCACCCTTCCTTCTTGGATCCAAGTGCAGCCAAAATGCACATTGGCCCTTGCACTGTGAATTTAAATGGAATGGGAGAGAGGCAGATATTGGGGTATCTGGGCTACAGTAGCAGCTCCTTGCTAAGTCAGCCCCTTAGTCTTCAAAATCCTTTGTGTGTTGTGTTATAGGAGATTCTTGGCATGTGCTGGGGTCTCCAAGTGCCTAGATATAGGTCTTCTGAAGGGGTCTGTCCTCAGTGGTGTTGCTTTGTTCAAGGATTCCTGCAAATGGATAATCTTCATGGTGGAAGAACAAGCCAGAAAGACTGGTCTATAATTCCTACTGACTTATAAGGGTCATCTCAATGTATTTCTACTATACATTGAGATGCCAAACAATTAAAGAACATTTAGTTATTCAAATGTTTTCCATGATGTACTGCATTTAAATACATTTACGCATAATCGAAACCTTCATAAACTTGAAGTCTTAATATTCTGAAGTGTAAGATAACATATCATTTAATTTAATGAACAAATGTTGTCAAATTGTTAAAAGTCATATTTCTTGTTTTCCGTTTCATTTCCTTCTACTGCAACCAAATAGCCTCAATAATAAACTAATGTGACCTTAAATCACAGTTCCACTGATTAGATTTGTCCTCACTACTGATTAATCAGCTAAAGCTGTAACTGATTAATCTCTCAATTAAAATCTTGCACCTTGCATTTCTAGGACTGGAGGTCATTTTAACTTGGCATCTCCTAAGCAATACATAGCAGTCACTACATGAAGGCAACAGAACAAGAGGAAGAGGACTTGAGACAAACTGATATGAAGCACTATTAGGACAAAGAAAAAATTAACCTTGATTCTAATAACTTTCACCTTGCCCAGACAACTTGGTTTCCCCATTGCAATATCTACACCTCAGAATATAGGGCAAGGAGCTCAAAAGATTCCTGGAATAAGCCACCCCAGGCAAATAAAGAGAAGGGTTCTAAAACTAAAATCCAGACAGACAGAGGTTTAACCCAGCATTGAAATCTTCTCTGGATCCTCCACACTACATGGAAGCCTATCAAATCCAAGACAGGTTCAAAGATAAGTCCAGAATAATCTCACACACAGTTATTAAGATTGCAGAGTAATTGTGGGCAATAGGCTAAATATGAGCCAACAAAATGATGAAGCTGCCAAAAGGACAAATGCTATTTTGGGATGCATTAACAGAAGTATTACTTCCAAATTGCGAGAAGTAGTAGTTCCCCATGCTCCTCATTAGTCAGACTTCATCGGGGATACTCTGTCTAGTTCTGGGCACCAAAATTTAAGATAGAGAAAAATTGGAAAGGGTCCAGAGGAGGGCATAAAAAAAGATCCAGAGTTTGGAAGCACTGCCCTATGAGGAGAGACTGAATGAACTGGGCATGTTCAGCCTTGAGAAGAGACGGCTGAGGAAGGGACATGATATCCCTCTGTAAGTACCTCATAGGCTGTTACAAAGAGGAAGGTGAAGATTTCTTCTTGCTGATACCAGAGTGTAGGACATGGAATAATCAATTCAAGCTGCAACAACCCAGATTCAGGCTAGATACCAGGACAAGTTTCCTGACTGTCAGAGCAATACACCAGTGGAACCAGCTGCCCAGAGAGGCGGTGGTCTCTCCCACACTAGAGACATTCAAAAAGAAACTGGACAGCCCACTGAGTGGGGTGGTGTAATGTAGTATCCTGCAATAGCAGGGGGTTGGATCCAACGGCCTTCATGGCCCATTCCAACTCTACTATATTGTGAAAAAGAAACCAGGCAGCCATCTGAGTGGAATGGTGTAGCGTGGTGTCCTGCAACAGCAGGGGGTTAGACCTGATGGCCTTCATGGCTTCTTCCAACTCACTATTCTGTGATTTCAACAACCACAGCTTCCACTTCAGTATCTCCCCATTACATGTGCTCTAGCATAGGAAAGTCTGAAGGGTGGGATCACCCCAGGTGGGAACTCTGGGCTATCAAGGATAAAGATATATGATCCATGACCAACAAGAATTAAGGTTCTTTGAAAAACATAATACCTTCCATGACAGTTTGCTAACAATACAGCATTCGAAATGACAAGGGTTCCTATTAGATGGAAAGTCCATGTGAAGAATGCTTCAAGTGGTTTAGGGTGGTAAACATGAGAATGCTTCTGGATAAGGCTCCCAGCTTGGGCATCTGCTTCAAGCAAAGGGGTGGCTGTGGTAGCCACCCTCCCAAATAATTAACACAGGATTTTAACCCATCAGTGAGGCCTCTGCCCAAACTGGATATCTCCATGCTGCCCCCCTAAGTTGATGCATGAACCCTGAAAACTCCCCAGCTCTTCTGTCAGGATCTCACAGAAAGGCTTCCAGCTTCTTTCCCTGTGAAGGTCACAGCCCGCAGCTGGACAGGAGTAACCTAATTCCTGCCTGCTTTCCCCTGAGGAACTGAGAGAGACGCTGACATTCTGTGGACTGCCTCCCCTTTGCTCTTGGCATTATATGAGTAATGAGGTGTAGCATCTTGCTATGTCTCACTGGCTGGCTGTCAACTGCAGGACCCACTGCAGTGAGCACAACATCCCAACAACGGGTACTGTGATAAATCAGGAGGCTACCTATAGACACTATGACTATGGCACTAATACAGCAATGCTTCAGGGCATTTTAAGTCATACCAGCATACCAGCTATTACACAGAAATTCTGATAGTAAGTCCATAGTTCTTGGGGATCTTTTCTATTCTATTAGCTAGCAGGGCCGCAGAAATAGGACTGGCATTTTAGCAGAGGACAATGGCCAACAGAAGACTATCTATTTATGTATATATTTTATTTATTATTTTGTTTTGTTTATTCTGGATTTATTGAATTTTCATAGTTTATTGATGATTTTATTGTTACTAGTTCTTTAGCTGTGTATTGTGACATTGCCTTTATATGGTTTTATGGATTTTAATATGATGCAAGCTGCCCAGAGAGCCTATGGCTAGTGGGGTGGCATATAAATCAAATAAATAAAATACTACCAAAAGTGGAATTTTGCTCATAACCTTCTGGGTACAAGCCATAATGTTGTACAAACAGTTAGTATTATTAGTGCTTTGCTGATTGTTTCACGGAACTATTCATTAAATTTAAGCCAAGAGTTCAATGAGTTACAGGGTTCCAAAGGAAACTGTATAGAAAATCATGGCTGAAACACTGAAATTAAGTATAGCATGCAAAGACTTCTAGGTCACAATGCTATGCTTACTTTCCTATGAGTAAGTCTTATTAAGCTGGAAGGACACAGAAAGGAGTACACTCCTAATCAGCTGAAAAGGTTTCTTTGGTTAAGCAGGCAAGGAAATTTTTAAAATGTTTTAATATGAATTTTATATTAAATATATATTTATTTAATATAATAAATAATTAATATATAATTGTGGACAACAGGCTAATTCCATCTCCTTTTCTCTTACCTAGAAGGCAATGTACTTTCTAGGCTTGGTACCTGCCCTAGCAAATGAGAAAGAAATTGTGCTTCTTGTTGCAGAATCATTAAAAATACACCATTGCAATAGTTTAATTCAACATGAATCGATGTCTTTAATCCGGTTAAAGATTTAATGATTACTTTATTGTTTCATTTTATTAATGTTTAATAGGTACATTAAACATTTAAAGTGAGGGCTAAAATGTTTACAAGTGAGAAAAGTCTGACATTCAATGCACTCTTGAGCTATTTGGAAAACAAGCAACACTACAAGAAAAATGACATTCCACTTTTTTAAAAAATGTTTTTTACATAAGCAATGGCAACTCCCTTCACAGTTCAATTTAAAAAAGAATCTATTAGCAACCTCTATGCAACTGATTAATATTATATAAAGGGTGTACAAGACAAATGTCGAGACATTTATTTTTACATTTTTCACAGAGGTTTTACCACATAATTATTTGCCTGTTCGCAACTGGCAGCCTTAGTCTTCCAGATTCACCAGCGATAGCAAACCAAATACCTTTCATGTTCAAACTGCAATAATTCAAACTAGAACACTTATTCAGATCCTCTCTTCAACACATACAAATTGGGTTTACCATGTACATGTATGAGTTCAAAACCTTCCTTGCAAATTTTGGGAAAAAAATTCACCATGCCAGGCAAAGTAACTCCAGATGCCATTTCTGGAATTATAACTCATATGACCTGCAGTTTTGGGAGAAGTGACCAATATAATTATTCCTCCCTGCCTGTTTTCATTCTATAGTGTGGAATACGACTTCAGACAACAAGAAGGGAGGTTTCACCAAGTTTTGAAAACACTGGATCAAGTGGAAGAGATTGCTCCTGTGACAACGCTACAGAGGCAACTATCTGATCACTCTGTCCCTGAGAAACAGGAATTAAGAAGAAAGACAAAGAAAAAGAAATGCTTCTGGTGGATTTGAAGGACTAAGAATCTGGGTATGGAACTTTAAGAACTAGTCCAGATCATGGCTGGGCCTTCATTAATGGACTTCAGACTTGTATGCTACTCCTTTTCTCACATACTCCAGTCTCTTCCTCACTTTCTGGTTTATACTAACTACAGTTTGCCATAATGTCCACATATGGGAGCTATGGGAAGCTAGAGTTACCAGCAACAAGGAAGTGAGGTAGGGGTCTAAGTATGTGAGGATGACAGCCAAAACCTGGTTTAGATGCAGTTTCTGAACTGGGTGTAAAGCACTTCATTCGAGGAAAGGAAATGGTGCTTGAAGTCAGAATATGCCTGTCGAAGATGCATACAGTCTAAAAACATGAGACTGTAACAAGATATTAGAAATCTAAGTCAACTTGGTATTGCAGATTAAATTGTTCTGAAAGTTAATGGAGCAAGCTAGTAAAATGAGTGAAACATTGGTTTTCCTTTCCTGTACAACACCCTTATTTAGCAAATCTGTCACTTATATAACTTAAGCATGATGGAATAATTTGGAACTTTGTTTTTTCTAGCCTGATTCAGAATTTCTGAAGCTGCCAGATTTGGGATTTTAGTAACATTTTATGGCTTCATTTTCCTGAAAAACTGCTGTACAGCAACTCTATATTGATCATACCAAAGTGCATCTAACATCTTTCACATTGCACAAAAGCATTCCTTCCAAATAATCAAAGCTAGCAGTCAGCATAAGTGCTGAAACAGAAAAGTGTGTTAAAATGTTGAGAAACACTAAATAAGCTAAACCAGATTTTTTAAAGCTATAATCCAGTCATTTATAGTAATGGAAAACACTGGGGGGAGGGGGAGGTAATGGAAAATACCCCATGAACATAAGAGACTGCATAAGGCACAGTACTTTTAGAAAACATTTTACACTATTGATAACTTCAAATTCAGCTTGTTCTGAAAATGACTCTGCTATTACTTTCCTAATATAACAGAAAAAGGAATGGCTTGGATCCTACAATCACTTTAAAATGTTCAGAAAAGGAAGGCTCCCCTTTTCTGCTTGCTACCCCACATACCCCCAGAAATGTTTCTGAGAGGCACTCCTGAACAATGTCCTATGGAAGTTTCTGGGGCAGGAGGGAATCATGTGAAGCTGGACAGACCTCTCCAAATATGGGGCAAGTCCTCCCTCCTCCAGCAACCCCCTCCCTACCCCATGCCTCCTCCCCACAGTTTGGCAAGGCTCTCAGCTCTCTAAAAGAAGCTTTTTAGTAGAAAAAGAAAACCTTCCATCCCTGAACTTCCTGAAATTAACTTATCTTAGGATGCAAACAGATGCAGGATGTTTTGCTGCCTAGAGAGCTTGCCCTCAAAAGGATGAGTAAGACTTATTCCCATGAGGATGCAGAATAAGAGGTTAGCATTTCATCAGAAACCCCGCAAAATTGAAATCAATGGGCATATGGACACATAATGCTATATAGATATGCATCAGGTCGTGAATCAGTACCTGAAACTTGACTTGTAGGGCAGAATTTATGATGGACTGCTAAAAGTGGGGTGAGGGACAACAGCACTAAAGCATGTCTTCTCCCTGTGTGGTTGTTCCGAATTTTGCATTGCTGGATGTTGCTGACACAGAAATGCTCCATGTGGTTGGGTCAATCAAAACAGCAAGTGCCAACACCATTATAGGCCCTGGATTGGATCCAGAATTTTATTTCAGCGGCAGGAGCATTCCTGAGTGAAGATGCAGTCAGGATGCTCCTGCTGGTGGAAAAGGAAGGAAGCATTTTCTTTTTTCTTTTCTTTTTTTTAACTAATTCCACCCTCCCTCCACATGTTCAAGCACTATCCCCCTATTGTTCTGGAACAGATTTTTAATAGCTAGCATTTACCTCACCAAGTGTACTGCAGGATCTCTCAACCCCCCAAAGCACATTTTCAAGAGACATTGGGAGTTCAAGGTTATTGGGGGGCAGGAAAGGATGATATGATGGCCTCCTCTAACATTCAACCCATGGAATTGTCCTTCTGGATCAAAGGTATCCCACACATGGAAGGAGCACTTCTGTCAATGATGAGCTTTTGCTGGATCCAAGCCCCTTGTGGAATTGTCACCACATGGAAGCATTTTTCAGTGACTTCCAAAAAAGCAGACAGGTAGTTTAAATGCTGGGATTCAGGAGAGGAGTCAGCTGCTGGATACCTCTCTACAAGTTGCAGAATTGCTTCATTATGTATGGTAATACTGGGCTAATTGCAGTGCAACAGGTACCAATAACAGCCATCAGGGGAAGGTTTGTCATTTTCATGGATGCAAAAACAACTGTATATGATGCTGAAGACTATCAGTGGATGATAGCAACTCAGAAATGAGACAAAGAGACCAGACTGGTTTTTCTGAAACATATTTCTTAAATCACACTAAGATTTTAAAGCTAATCATTTACTTTCATATAGTTGGATTAAAGAATTCCAGAAGAATATTGCACAATTATTTTGCATGCCTATAATGAGAGCAGCATTGTACAGAATTCTTTGATGTGAGAGCTACATTTTAAATGATTTGAAAAATACATTAATTACAAGCACCGAAAGATTCAAATCATCTGAAGCCATGAGACTCACAATACTGATGTGCCTCTAATTTACCCACCTTTGAATTGCAACTTCCTATAAAGATGTCTACAGATGTCAAATTCAGATTATACCAGTGTCATGTTTTTCTACATTATCATTGTATCTCTACTGAAGTCACAGAACATGTTTTTCTAGTCATCAGTTCCACAGCCTCGCTTTCCACAAACACTGTAATGAGTTACAGGATGTTCCATGATTTACATAACCTGTGTCCATGATTCCAGAAACTCAGTTGCAGCTGAAAGTCCATGAGGTACAATTCACATGTTCTGTTTCTTCTGCCCTGCCCTGCCAGAACCATACATGAGAACTCTGGCACCTGATTCAGCAGAGGCAGCCAACATGCAGGAACTGGTTCTACATCCAGATTCTCTTGCTGGATCTAGTTCTGGTCCCGTATGCCAGGAGAATAGTGTGCTGGTGCATAGCTCCTAAGCCAGCACCCAGAGGTATGCATGAGATGGCTTGTGATAAACAAAGTCTGTTGTGACAAATGGCTGATACGATCAGTTTTGAAACAGTCACCTCTTTCAAGAGGAGCAAGGACAGAATCCAGGCTCCCCTGCTCACTACATGCTGGGGCAGCTGCAAATTATCAGCCATCTTCTCCATACCTTGCTTGTGAGCATCCAAAGGCATCTTGCCGGGCAAGCTAGAAACTGAATGCTTAACAAGACCAATGAGCTTTCACCCAGCAAGGCGATTCTTATTTGGCTGTAAGAGAAAATCAGTATAAGGGAAAGAATGGTGCATATATATGTGTGTGTGTAGATATGTATATATGCCCCATTTTTTCTGATGCAACACAAATAAGGAAAATTTAGGAGCAATTTGCATGGTATTCACCTTTCAGTAATGAGAAGTAGATTAAATGTATAGGTTTAAAAACAATGCTAGCAAGGCAGACAGTATGATGACGGTCTACAACACGTTTGGACTATCTTCCAGAATGTGTTAACAGTAAGACTCTATACCTATGATAGCTTTCTGTAACACTAACTGTATACAGCACATATATGATGTGCTGCCAAACATGAAAACTACAAATGTAATGAGACTTAAGGGAGAACCTTTGTAAAATAGTGTATAGCACATACTGCATATTCAGAAATGACTGTACTTGAAATTATTCTGCTCTACAGAGAAAAGTGGACTCTTTTTTTGAAGAAAATTGTCAGAATAAAACATTAAGACTTCTATGAACAGTTTCATAATAAAAGGTTTGTGTACTCCCACGGTATAATAAATACCTATTCCTCTTACCCACAGTCACAACTCTTGGTAAATAAGCAGGCTCCAATACAGATTACTTTCCTGATGAAATGTACTAATCAAATATAATGTTTTGTATATTTCTAGAGTCTTTTATTGGCATATCTTTTGCAATAAATGGACATATTTTTTTCTGTCTCAGGACTCAATAACTTGATAGCTATGCTTACTCTGCTCACAGATATGGCAATTACTCAAAGCAGGGAGAAGGAACTAGAAAGTCGCTTTCCTAAAAATCTGTGTTCTCAGCCTATTCCACAATTTTATTTATTTATGTATTTATTAAAAGCTTTTCTAACCGGTCCACTACAAGCATCTCAGAACCACAGCCTAGGTTCAGTTTTCCAAAATCTAGTCAAGATCCAGCTGCAGGATGAAAACTAAGTACACTGAAAAACTGTAGTGTCACAACTCTGCCACCTGCATACAGCTTTCAGTCAAGTTTCAGTCTGTCTTTCTCAGCTATTTCTCAGCTATTTCTCAGCTACATGACAATTTGGACAGAGCTATTTTGGTGGTGGTTTGTTACTGATCAGTTCCCTGCTTCTTGTCTTGAGTATATGAAGCAGCAGCTAAAATAGCTATTCCCTTTGAGAGAAAAGAATTCAAAGCAGAAGATGTCCAACACCAACCCAGAACATAAATTATACGTTTCCATTCTGTAGATGGATTCTGATTCAGGCTGGAGTTCTATTGACACACTTATATAGATGCTATCAGGCTTACTTCTAGGTAGACCAGCAAAGTATTGGAAATGTATAATCCCCATATAATGACTACTTTAATGAATCCAACTGGAAATGTTAAAAAGAGCTGTAAAATATATTTCTATTCTTACAACCATTTTCAGGTATTCACCCTCCTACCTAGTTAGCTATCATTGTCTTTAATAATATTGTATACTTCTTAATTATTTTTAGTATCCAAATTTATCAGTCATTGTCAAAAACATCAAAACAAGGGTTCAAATTGATTATATCAGAATAAAATTCTAAAAGTACAAAATTAATACACAGATAGCAGTAGTAATGTCAACAGTCTGACTGTCTTTCAATTATAAGGTTGGAGGGAAAAGAAGAGGTTCATAAATATTTGGGGAGCAGATTTAAGACTCAAGCAGAAAGAAGACATATTCACTAGAAAAACAACCTTGCAATTCCATATTGTCAATATGTGCTTAGAAGTTTTTCCCTACAATTAATTTGTCTCTTACTCCCCTAACTCCAAGTCTCAGAAAGTTATATTCACAAATTCTTAACTTTGATTACTTTCTAAAATCTGATAAGCAGCAGGGGTATTTTTCCCCTTTAGATGCCTTGCAAATTGCTGGGTATCTTGTGGCATTTCAATACATAAAATAAGAAGAATCCTACTGCTCAGCAGAGCTTATCTGTCAGCATTTAAGGCACAATTACCATTAGAATAAAGCAACTAAAATTAACCCAATAGGGTTCCTTATTAATTTCCTTGCTTATCAAATCCTGGGAGTTTCATTCTAATTGTCTCCATATCAAAGAATCTTGTTTTTGAAACTACTTAGATGTCTTTGCCTGAGTTTCCCAGTCAATGGCAGACATCCTCCCCAATGCCAGATTTATGGGCAGGTATCACAGGCAGGGTTCACCCCTCAGAGCATAACTACTCAACAAGTTATACAATAGCTGAAATAAATAATACAAACAGGTCTCCTTCCTTTGTAAAGCTGGCAAGTCTGACCTGCACTGCATAATGTTCTAATAATAATGTTAATAAGAAAAAAGAATCACAAAAACAATAATCATAGGAAAATCTGTATCTGATTTCTGGAAATTCCAAGAATCAAAATTCCAAACATGCTAATTAACACAAAATTGTGTGGAATCCCTGATCACCAGTATAAATTCAACGAGTAGTATTTGGGTGAGTGATTGAGGAGGTTTCAATGCCCCTCCTTTCCATTCAAAACACATGAAAGAGACATGGGTCCTTGTGGACTAGCCCCAAACACTGCTGCTGATGTATCCAACAGCCATCCAGCCTCACCATCCAGCACATGTGAGAAGGGGCTTTCTCTTCCTGCCAGTGAATACCCATAAAGCTCCTACACACCAGATGGAGGTCCTAGCTGGCACAGGATTCACCAGCAGATGTAGATCTTTATACCTTTATAAATAAATACAGAGGATCCCTTGGTGTATGCACTTGAAACCAGCTGGCAGATTGTGTGTCTCCATGCATCTCTCATGTGGTCTCTGAATGTGTGCCCAGGGCTGTGTGTCCTCCCATTGCTAGTGGATCTATTCGTGCGCATGTATCATCTTCTTTGACAAGGATCAATCAAGCATGAAATAGTGGACTAGCTGAAAAGGGTGTTCAAATATGATCCAAGTGGCAAAGCCCCTAAAGGCGCTCCTCATCTTGGATGCCCAAGTAACCTAGGACTGTCCTGCATCCAGCTGTCAGTCCCACAAGTCAGATGGAAACCAAGTATTATTCAGTTTGATAGATGGAAAGTCTTTCTTTGGAAGCAAGACGCACATATGCCAGTGTGACACAGCAGTTAGAGTGTTGGAGGGACTTAAGAGATCCAGGTTCTAGTCCCCATTCACCTATGGAGCTCACTAGGTGATTTTGGGCCAGTCAGAGACTCTTAGCCTAACCTATCTCAAAGAATTGTTGTTGTGATGATAAAATGTACAGGAAGAGAACTTTTGTAGGTGTCTGGCAAAAGGAAGAACGGCAGTGCATAAATTTAATGGAAGAGGAAGAGGAAGAAAAACAGTTCTACTGGACGACCATCATGATCCAAAACATAAGTCAGTCTAATATGATTACCAACCCAAAGTTCCATTTCTAGTGAGCAGTCCAACATTAAAAAAAGAAGCAGTGTGTGTGCACATGTGCATTCTGGTACAGAAATGATAAGCAGCATTCAAGGAAAGCTGAGGAAACTGGTCGAGCTGTTTCAAAGGTTATCCAGTGCCACTTTGATTATGCATGGCACGCTTCCTGGCGCCAAGGGAGTGCCAATTGGCTTTGACAACTTAAGGCTGAAAATGAGCAGCAGCAGGCCTAAGCCAAGAATATCTGACCTAGAAAAGCAATCTTGTCGGCAGCGCAGCCCCTGCAAGAAGCAGCCATCCTACTGAACGCCACATGGGAACATTCTGTACGAAGGCACAGCCACATCCGCTCCAAGACGTGCGAGCCCCGCAAGAGAGTGGCTGTGATCATGAGTCAGGGAGCTGTAACAGCAGAGGCAACCATTGCTTTGACTGGAAGTCGGCCAACCATCGCCAGAGGTCTCCTGCATCCTTCCCCACCCACTCTGTTCTGAAGCAGCACCATGTTGTCTGGAGTCCAGCTCCTGTTTTAGCAGTTAGCAAAGGATATTGCAGGACTGGAACAGCAGTTTCTTATTTATTTGTTATTCATTATTCAATGATAGTGTATTATTTATCAAGATTAGCATTCTTTTGTATCTTGTAGCTTACTTTTCCCTCCAAATGTAAACACAAAGTAGTTTACATCACATAATATACAAAAATATTTGCTATTAATTTACATATATTATCGTGTGATGTACAAAGATACTTAATATAAAGTTCTAAAGTTCTGGGGACTGGCAATTATGAAATTTAAGATTCTCTCAAATTCTCGCAGGATTTTTTCCTAAGAACTACAACCAGGCATCAATGTGAGTCCCCAGAGCCCAAGTAAAGTCGTTTGCAGTCAGTCCAACAAGCGCAGGGATTGGGTATGAGAGTGAAGTAAAAACCAGCAGGTCCCCAGAGCCTCATGTCTCTACCATGAACTAATCTGATGGCCACCCACTTTCATCCTCCGCTTCCCATCTGCAAAACGGGGATTAGAAGAATGCTCCCCTTAGACTTGCACTTGAAGTACTTGAAGCACTCTGGAGTGCTACACAAATATCCCTATTACTAATATTTAAAATAACCTTGCAAACAAGCCCACAAAGATTATTAGACAAATATTTTTCTGACCTACAATGTTGTCCTGACCAAAGATCTAAATAAAGAAAAAGTCTTCAGAGGGAGTGGGGAGGGGAGAATGAGACTAAAAAAAAATAAAATAAAATTGTGGCCGCTCAAAGAAAGCTGGAACCCTGCCTGGTCACCTGGGGGGCAATTCTGATTCTTCACAAGTGAGCAGACAAGTGGCAATTTAGAATCCTGTTTTAAGACCTGGCAGCCATTTGGATCATTGTTTAGTGTCATCTATTGTGCAGTTCTGAACCATGGTCACAAAGTGCTCCTTCTCACATGCCAGCCTAGATAACACATTGTTCTTTTACAGCCTGTTTTTTATAGACAGATCCTTGTGTGTTTCACATCTCAGCTGAGACAGCTTTCAGAGGGTTGGCTAAAATTTATGGTACCAGCATTGTGCATAATTCTTTGAAGTGAGAGATGAGGTTGTTTTTCCTTTGATTTTTTTATGGGAGGAAAAATGACATACTAAAGTGTTGCTATTGTCCTTCAGAGTTTTGATCACCTTGCCTGGAAAAATGCTTAAAAATTGTGAAAATGTGAAATCTATTTAATAATCCAATGCAAGAAAACAAAGGCAAGTTTTGACAGCTTCCACTCAATGCGACTGTTCACAGAAATGTTCACAAATGATGTTAATAATACATGTTATGCACTGCTTGAGGTCTAATACACAATCAAAGGCAGGCATTAACTCAGTTGGATTCAAGCTGACATCATTATGATGCCACAAGACAAAAGCAATAGTCTGGTAGCCATGGACACAATAGATAGCCAAAAATAAACACATGGGGTATGCAAATAGCATTGTACGGGGAGCAAATCAGAACACAAACAGCTCTTAAGTGTAAAGAATGCTGTGTGGGGATCAACACGCTGCAGCACAGTCATTCTGGAGCATTAACATTTGCAATCAAACTGGCAGCTGAGACAGACTGTCCTTTAAAAGGCTAAGCCAATCACTTGAGGCTTTTGACAGCATACTATCTGCCCTCTTTTATATCAAGCAGTGCTACCCAGGGAGCAGGAAAGGCAGAATCACTCAGATAGGTTTCAACGTGTACTCCGGCTTTTCATCTTGTGAAGCATGTCAAGCTCCAACCATGACCCTACCTTCCACAGTCTGGGTAGTCCCTGCCTTCTTAAAATGCTTGGATGTCAACATCTGATGCTTTATCCAAGTGCATTCTGGCTTGCCAGATACCTTGGGCTGTTAGATCTGATTTCTGCTTTGCCACAGCTAAAGGAACCAAGAGCCAGGGTCTTCTTAGATGAGGAAAGGGAAGTCACTGCAGCTTCCCAAGGGCCTCCTGATGAGGTATTTAACAGTGCAGGGATCTGTTTGAAACCCTTCTGCTGACAGGTCCTCAAACTCACAAGTGCAGCAAAGGGATCAGGGTCTGGAATACAAGCTTTCAATAGTGCTTATTGATCCTACAACCTTTTCTGAGATAGCTGAGGTCACCAAAAAGGGGGGGGATTATCTATTGGAGGCAGCAGGTGTTCTTTGGATTTACCCACATATATAAACAGCTCGATCTCAGTAGACCAGAATAGACCCTCACTGCCTCCTCCTCTAGTTTTCTCAGCCACAAGGAGGCTTGCCTTGAAAGCAAAGAGCCAAGTAGGAGGCAGCCTTAGCAAGCCAATGGAATAGGACTTTCTCTTTCTTTTTCCCTGCCAATGGCAGTGCAGCTGGCCACTGGTGGGCTCTCTTCTAGGAGTCACTGCTTTTCAAGTAGCAGGATGGGTTCCTGCCTGCAAGCTCCGCATCTCCCACTGACAATATGTGTGCAAACAGTACCAGGATCCCTAGCCAGAAAACACATTTAGAAAATTAATTACTCACAATTAAGGCATCATCTCTTCCCATTCTAATGACAGTCCTGTTAATGGTGCGAAGCAATTGGATCATTATTTCTTGTATGTGCTGATACGTTGATGCCTGTAATACACATACAGTTGTTTTCAAGATAATGAAGAATAATACACAAAGAAAATGCTTAGGCAGACTCTTCATACAAGGACTGCACCTGTCTATGTGAATGAGAACTGATGACATCATCATTATTATTATTATTATTATTATTATTATTATTATTATAACATTTCTATGCCGCCCCTTGCCGAAACCTCGGGGCGGCTTACAACACGATAAAATACATTGAAATACAATAGTACATAATAAATTACCATTAAATACAAAAATACAAAAAATACATTGATTTACAAATATAAAATTAAAATTATCAGTAAAACATCAGTTGGCAATGCAACGTGTAGGAACAAAATCTCTCCTAAGTTATTTGGAGATCTCTCCAAAGGATTTATGTACGATCGAGGGAAGACTCAGCCTAGCCATTTTCCAAGCATGTTTTTTGGAACATCTGTGGACATTCATCTATGTGGAACGTTTGTTTTTTATGGGGGGTCCATACACACGGGTAACCCTCAGCCCTGCTCCACAGCCTGTAATACTGTCTAAGCCACTTACCAGTTCTTTTCTGCAGCAACTGCATCACTAGAATGGCCACTCTGTAAGAGCACGATCCCATGCCTACCTCTGCCAGCATGCCCCAGGCAGTCTACAGCTTTCTGCATGGCCCAACCAGCCATGCTGGGGATTGTAGGCCTTTTTCTGTCTAAGCAAGCATAGGATGGCCCCTGAGTCTAAAGGCTACTTAATATTAATCACAGCCATTATAGGACTGTAATGTATACATTAGAGACCTACAACTCCTTTTTATGTTGCCTTATATTTATGTGATGAAACATTGTTTCTCTCTACCATCTGGTAGTGTTTTCTGCAGAACTACTGAAAGCTGACTATCCATTCTTCTCAGGTACAGCGCTGTGCTGAAAAGTTTCCCATGTACTTTCTCAAAATTATTCCAACATCATATTGGGTTTCACTAACTGGCTGAATGTGTGTTGCAGAATAAATTGATTAAAAAGAAGTTTGCATCTTTGCTGCCTGTTAAGGCACAACACAGCTCAAAAGGTCTACATTCGTCATCACTGGCATTAAAGGTAGCTGAAAAGACTATCCTAAAGCCCTGCATGCCAGGTAATAGCTATGCCAATGCTGAGTCAGTGTATCATAATTGCAAGCCTATGTGCTTCTGGCAGGAAGGTAAGAAGCACAGTAATTGGGGCGGATGCTGGAGTCACCACAGCATGATTGTCGGTGGCAATGGAGTTGCTAGGGAGACAGACACTCCCCTAGAATCCCTATCAGCTCCACTGCCACCCACCAGTCACAATGAAATTCAGCAGGACTCTGCACCTTACCCATGCATCCAAGTGGTAGTCATCTATTCATCTCATATGTGTTATGACCCTTGCAACAAAGCTTCTAGATTGTGGCAAAGCTTCTAGATTGTGCTTCTAGATTGCTGGAGCTGCCCTGGCTCCAGATCAGCATCCTAACCTCCAGTGTGGCTGGAGGGGGGGTGGGGGGGGAGTTTGTCTGAGGTTTTCCACTGAGTCCTAAGGAAGCAGTTTTCATTTACCACTTCTTTTTGTAATTGCAATATTATTCCAATTCCAAAAACTGAATCCAAACTCCGCTCTACTCATTTCTCCTCTTTTCAAGTTTTGTCCCCAAAAGACCAGGTTGAACACCTGTATGCAGAGATCTGCCACGTCGACTTAACGTTCTGTTCTTTAGGGGAAGCAGATGTAGTCTTTCCTAGTTAGAGTTGCACCCTTGGTATTGGGTAACATTTTCATGGAAGCTATACATCTGCCTACTCTAAAAAGTAATTTAACTGTTCTGGATTTGGTCCTGGCAAAGATGCAGGATGAGATATGTCAAACTTGTAAATAACTATTTCAGATATCGTGTCCAAATTAAGAGTCTTAGATTTCACCAATACGCCAATTATTCTCTTCAACACTACCACAACAGCACATGTAATTTGTACTTCAAGAGTTGGCAGCCTTAATACAGGTGCATTTCTATTCCTGAACATGCCATCCATATTATAAAGAGAGCAACAAGAGGAGGGAATAACTGAAGAATTGCAGGGAAAGGTTGGTGAGTGCATTATTCCATCTCTGATCCACTTCCCTTGCATGTGGCTACACATCATATTGATGTTTAGGGCTCCATCAGTCATTCTGTAATTGTGTTTACTGATCTTTTTCATCACTAACTGATCTGGAAAGCCTGTGCTGTCTGAATTTGAATACCTTTCATTCTCACCTAGCTGAATGGGGCTTCACATGACCCAAATAAATAGAGGGGTTCCCTCTCTTCTTATACTTTTGCAAGTAGCATTTGGAAAGAAACTCTCATGAAGGCGTTAGATGCAGATTGCTCTAAGGATCACGGTTAAAGTAATCACTTTCAGTCCTTTGACACTGCTTGGAACAGAGAACCCCTGATGCAGAACTCCTGAAGCCACTCTCAGAACTGATTTGGATGACATTTCCTCCTTGGGGAATGATCAGTAGTATGCCACAGGGTAAAAGCAATCTCAGTTCGAATAACAACAGACTCATCAAGTTTAGACAAGTGTTAAGGGGATTGCTTATTCTTCCAATATCTGGGAGAAAACAACAGTTAAACTAGCCTTCATTTGTGTTATTTCTACATTATTTCCATCCATATTTACACTATTCCTGTCTTCCATACATGATGAAGCTGCTGCCTATGAATATTTATGGCATCCCAGTTAGTTGCTCACTCCTATAGCAGATGTATCTTTATTTATCAGCCTCAGGCAAGACAGGCAATAGCCAAGGGTAACTGGTGTCCTGACTGAGTAACATGTAAAAGGCCACAGTTTCCCCACCCCTCATCTATAATCATCCAAATTCATCGAGGAAGAATAAGAAGCATCTGAAGCAGAGGCCTCCATGTATTTTGAACTACATTTTCTATCATCCTCAGCTAGCACTGGCAATTGGTAGAATAATAGGAATTGGAATCCAACACATCTGGAGGGCACAGGTCACAGCGGACTGCATTAGATGATTGTTATACTTCCCCAGTGTCTTCAAGGTTAAATGCAACTCAGTATCTGAAGATATTGAACAAATAACCTTGCCTAGTCTAATTAGGAACAAACATGTAATATTATCAGCATCTTTGCTTTCTTGAAGCTCCTAAAACTTACAGATTGCACCTCATTTCCCTAAGCATATTAAACTTCATCCTCTTTCTTTGATCAGCAGTTACAGTGCCAGATGCCACAGTGGGGTACATCTCTTTCCAAAAGCAGCATCTGGTTGTTTGGCAGACTTCCCAGTTCCTTTTGGCAGATCTGGCATTTTCAGAGGGCATGTCAGATAACGCTGCTAGGTTCTGACAGAGTTTCCCTAGGAGGCTCTCCTCCCCACCATCCCTCCACCTTGATGGATCTGATGAGGAACTCAGGGCCCAAGGTCTCATAAGAGTGCTCAAATTAGAGGCTTTACTATCCCAAAAGAATCTCTCCTAGTAGATGCTGACTAATTAGGTTAGAGTTTGCATACTTACAAAGGGGCCCAGCTTAATGCATCGACAATTCAGCTTTAATAAATAAGTAAATAAATAAATGTGCGGAATTTGGGCTTTTGGTTTTGGAAAGCAGCCAAACAGAGCTAGACCGAGAAAACACTACTCTGTACTGGAGAGTACAGAAAGAGTAAGGGCTGGACAGACCCTTTCTCTTCACAGAAGATACGTAAAGAGGCAAAGTGATTTCTCTTGTTGGTGTTGTTGTTAGTCGCAAAGTTGTGTCCGACCAATCACGACCCCATGGACAACATTTCTCCAGGCCTTCCTGTCCTCCACCATCCCCCGGAGTACACTTAAGCTCACTCCAACTGCTTCAGTGACTCCAGCCACCTCATCCTCTGCCGTCCCCTTCTTCTTTTGCCATCTGTTGTTCCCAGCATTAGGCTCTTCTCCAGGAGGTCCTTCCTTCTCATTAGGTGGCCAAAGTATTTGAGTTTCATCTTCAGTATCTGGCCTTCTAAAGAGCAGTCAGGGTTGATCTCCTCTAGGACTGACTGGTTTGATCGCCTAGTGGACCAAGGGACTCGCAGGAGTCTCCTCCAGCACCACAATTCAAAGGCCTCAATCCTTCTGCGCTCAGCCTTCCTTATGGTCCATCTTTCACAGCTATATATTGCAACTGGGAAAACCATAGCCTTGACTATACACACTTTTGTTGGCAGGTGATGCCTCTGCTTTTTAGTATGCTGTCTAGATTTGCCATAGCTTTCCTCCCCAGGAGCAAGTGTCTTTTAATTTCTTGGCTGCAGTCCCTGTCTGCGGTGATCTTGGAGCCCAGGAAAATAAAATCTGTCTCTACCTCCATTTCTTACCCATCTATTTCCCAGGAAGTAAGCAAACCAGATGCCATGATCTTAGTTTTCTTAATGTTGAGTTTCAAGCCAACTTTTGCGCCCTCCTCTTTCACCCACATCAAGAGGCTCTTTAATTCCTCTTCACTTTCTGCCATTAGAGTGGTATCATCAAGTAGGATATACAGTATAATGAAATACAGCTTCAGCTGGTCCCACGTGCTGCAGCCAGACGATTGACTGGGGCCAGTTATATGCAGCCTATGACTCCTTTTCTCAAAAGCAGCACTGGCTACCAGTCTCTTTCTAAGCTCAGTTCACAAAGCTGGTAATGGTCTAAGCCTTACATGTCTTGAGGCCATCCTCTTGACAAGAACTCTTTCACCTCTATGAGCCTGCCTGAGCTTTAAGGTTGCCAGGAAAGGCCCGTCTCTGCCCTGCCATCAGCAGGGACACATATGGCAGGGACAGGAGACATTCCCAGACTGGGGAGGTCAGGCTAGCTCCATCTTTAATGTCCTTCCCCCATCAGGCAAATACATTTTCACCTAGAAAGGTTTTAAAGAAGCAGGTTTTAGTTCATGAGTGCAGGGGGGGGGGGGTTGTTTGTTTGTCTCTTGATGTGCTCCTAATTGAATTGCTATTGTGTTTCCATTATACATGGCATTTTATCTGGTGTTTTGCTCTTGTTAGCTGCCTTGAGCACTATTTGTAGTGGAAAGCCAGGATGCAAATTAATTAATAAAACCTGCATGTGTGCATAGTTGAGGCACAGGCTGCATGGGTATGCACACATTAAAAACAATTTGAAAGATGTTCAAATTGGGAAGAAATATATGAAGTTTTGGGCAGGGTTCTAATAATGATGCGTGTAAGGGCCTTTCCTTACGTAAACCATGACAGTCCGGACCTCTCATGTACATCAGAACCCCACAGGACTCAGGGCCAGGGTGACACTGTCACTTCACCTGACATGTTTCACTGGCCTGCTTTACCCCAATTGTCATTCCCCGGTGCTCCCACGATTGCCACTTTTAGCACATATTCAGTCTAGTTGCCTCAAAGGGAAAGTGAGAGAGGTGAGGCATCTTTTATCAGCTCAGCTGATTATATGATTCCTCCCCTCCCAGTCCTTTCCCCTTTCATATCCTGTCTATTAAATTGTAAGCCATAATGGCAAGGTGAGGTTATTTTAGGTGTGGTTTCAGCACAGGGATTGGGAATGTGTGACCATCCAAATACTTCTATTCGTTCTGCGACTCCTATTCATTCTAGCCAGCAAAGTCAATGCTTGAGGAATGATGGAAGTTGTAGTCCAACATCTGGAGAATCACACATTCCCCATCCTGGCAGTAGTGCTTAGGAGTATTTTAAGTAATAATATTTATTTATTTATTTAACTAATTTATTTGTATCCCACCGTTTACGATGTTTCAGGGCAGCAGCATGCTAATAATCATAATAATAGCGTGCAGATAAAGGCAGGCTCCAACATTCCATTGCAACCTGCCCAGTATGAAAAGGGAACTCAACTCTTTCCCAGGAGAAAATATCCATAAGTTTCCTTTTCGAGTGACAAACATGGAACAAACAACACTGCATTAATTCTTGCTTCTTGGTTAGCCTAGCAAGTATTAGAGGTCTTTTGCATTTGGAATCCTGATATACAATTTTAAAGCATGGCACAAAGAAAAAGTGCAACACAATTCAATTCAATTATACAATTGGTTTTGAAAATATAGTATGTGCAATAGCAAGTGGCTCATTTTGGCGAACACAGCAACTTTTCCAAGTGACAGAGGTCAAAACTAAATGATACATTGTAAAAGGCAGAGGGAGAGCAGAATCAGATGTTTACAATTTTTCTGTTTTAATATGGCCTTTTCACAATGAAAGCACAACTTTGTGAACACAAGCAAACCTTTCAAGAATGTTAAGAGAAAAGATATCACAGACTCCAAGTCCTGTGTGGTAGAAGCTATATAAAACATGAAAGCACATTATAATATCTATAACACATTCACTCTATAATTATCTGAAACAACTACTCTTTAGATGTCAAGGGGGCATTACAGCCACATAATTCAAATAAGGGTTAGCATTATAGGTTTGCTCCTATTGTAACAGATTAACTTATAAATCTAGATAATGAACCCAGCTGCACACTTTGCTGAAGGGTGCTTAGAATGTAACAGGCTCATGTAAAATCAACATTCTTCTTATTTTTCCCCCGAAGGGAAAGGTGGTAGCATCCTTTGGATGAAGTAATACATATTGAAGTGAAAGGGTACAATCCCAATATCTAGAGGACTGGACTGTTCATGGAATGCTCTGGTTCCCATGATGCCACAGGCCCCTGTAGCTTAGTTACCCATGGCATGCTGGGAACCATTTTTGCATAGCACCTACAGCCAACTGGCTTTCTGTGGCATGGTGTCCTGTGCAAACCCAGGTGGCAGGGGTTGTTTCAGGATTAAATAATCTTCAAATAACCCTGAAACAAGCCATGGGTTATCTGAGGATTGTCTAACCCTCCAGCAACCTCTGCTACCTGGGTGCACATCACACAATAAACAATGGCAAGGTGTGCCCCCACCCCCAGTCATCATGAAAAATTGGTACCTGAGGATGCCCAGTGCAACAAGACCACCCCCTTGAGTAAATTAATCAATGGGGAGCATCCCATCATGTGAACCAGGTTATCATCTCATCATTTAAGAGTGGAAGAGTTAGATAGAAAAATTAACTGGCTTATCTCTCCACAGTTTCCTCATTCATTCTATCTCCCAACTTCATAAAAAATCCTGCCAGTAAGTGTATGTTGCTCCAGAGTATGTTAGCCTAGCCTGAGAGATGCACTAACTTTCCAGCAACTGACTCAATTACTTTTCCATTGTTGTTCCACATAAATTACATATTTCACCACCAAAGTGCAATGTTAGATTGTATTAAGTGTGTCTTATGGAAAAACTCATACCAGTTTTCTAAGCCATGTTCAACATTCTTTTTTAAATGTATCTTTTCTGGTCATTTGATGCAAACCTAAGCATAGCCCACAGACACAACAGGTGAACAGCAAATTTTTGCTGTGACTAATACCAACCACGACATATTAGAATACTACTGTGGCTTAGGAACCTGGGAGCTAGCCTTGTGACAGTTGCCCTTCAAAGCTAGCAATTCAAAGCAGTGTTTAACAACCCCTGAAGAACTCAAAGCAATGTTGAATGTTTCATTAGAAGCACAAAACATTTAAATTTGAATTGTTCGTGTATCCCCTTATCGGATTTGTTCTCAGTGGTTTGATGCAAATGTAACTTTGGTTTGAACATCCTGTGGATTTGTACTAATCCCCTGCTCTCCACCTCCTACTATTTACTGCATCGATGCTTTAGAATGACATTGATACTGTTGCTTACTTTGGTTAAGACTATGTTGCTCAAAACCACAATTTGCAATGGCTGTGTTCACCCATAATGCTAAACAATGCCATATGGCAACTGCGTGGCATAGTATCTCACCCTGTGTCCTGGGTTCATGCATTTGTGTTTTTTATATGCATGCATGGTAGCCATGCATCTCCATCTTCCCTCCAAATAGTGGCACATATCCCATCAGCCCTCCAGGCTCAGAATCAGTCCCAGGGTGCACCACTCCTGCCTATGTCACATGCTCCCCTGGGAATGGCTCAGCCAACCACCTTTTTCTGTGTGTGGTTGTTTTTGTTGTTGTTGTTTGTTTAAGTTTCCTGCTGCTCTGCAAAGCAACTGCCTATGCACTAGAGTAGATCTTTTTCACTAAAGGAGCACTGCAAGAAAGCTACCCTTCTCTGCACCAATGTATTTTCACCCACCCATCACTACCTTCTCCCTCACTGCAGATATGCGCACCCTGCCCATGTGCAGGATTCGTACCACCAGCTGCATCCCCCTTCAGCCAGGCACATGGAGGGAATCTTCATGGGCAGGCTGTGCCAGGGACAGAAGGAGTGTGTCCTGTCCTTTCCCAAGGGTGCCCATGTTGGTATCTGCCTGAGTAAGTTTTCTGGTTGGTCACGAGAAATATGTTTGTCCCACAGCTATGGAGGATAGGAGCAAGGCATAAGGGAACTGTGCTTCCCAGGGCCATTGTCCTGATGGTGATGCCCAGGTGCTGCCCACAGGCTCCTCTTGTGCAAAGTTTTTCCATGTGGATCCATGGAAACCAGACATGTCACTTTTCACCATGGATGCTGAATCCACACTTGGCAACTACCCATGCCTCCATGGTTTCCAGCATGGCTTGCCATCTTGTATGAATTCAGCCAATGGGTTTGCAAACCATGGGTAAGCTTGGCTAGCCTTAACCACAGCAACCAGAGGAAGCCAGCAGCATGCTCCCAGTCTCAAAGCCATGCTCTCCATGTATATTATTAATGATGCAATGTAGCAAAACAGCTTGATTCCTTTGGTTTTAATATCTTGAAGCTGATTCAGGATTGATGACACATCAAAGCAAATGAACCTGAAAATCAGGAGGGGAAAATTGCCACTTTGTATCATGTGTCACATCAAAAACTGTGAGAACTAGTTCTATCTATCAGGGCCCTGTTATATTTAGAATTTAAATGAGAGTCATCAGCATGAATATTTTACAACTTAATCAGTACAGGCTTACAACCAACTGGAACCAGCTACATAATCATTGCGCTCATCAATACTCACTGGATCTTGACAGCTGAGAACTTCCAGGATGCTGTTGAGTAAGTCAACGCAGTGTTCCTTCTCTTGAACCTGCATGGGTGTCTCTTCCCGTGGATTCAGTAATTCCTTCAGTTCTTTGGTAATGACAGGGAGAAGAATGTCTCTACATTCTGAAAGTAATTGTTTGTTACTTAGACGTGGAGTCAAAATCAGAGATACTTTTACCTTTCCTTTTGTAGCACCACTACCCTTCCTTCCAGCCTCCCTCACTTGAGAGCATTCTAACTTTCATTCCTTGACAACTCCTCAGTGTAATCGTGAAGGATGGTAGAGATTAATTTGCTAAATAAATACATCCCATTTCATTTATTATATTTTTATACCACCCAATAGTCATAGTTCTCTGAGCAGTTTAGGAAGATTAAAAGCCATGAAATCCAAAGCATATAGTTCAGATAAAATGCATAGTATTAAAACTATTTGCCTACAACATATAGATGCACACATGTACACACAATTTTGACAGTCAATATCTGCAAATGACCCAGATAGCTTTGCTGTTGAGCAGTACAAAAATGACATCATCATTATCATCTAATAATGCACTGTCAGATGTCTGACATCAGAGGAGGCCTTAACAGAGGAAGTGTGAAGAATCCATTTTGGGGGTGAGAAGCTGCTGGATTGATTCCCTGGGCTTGGCATCCTGGACTCCAGTCCACTTTATTGCTGTGAATGCAAGTCCCTGGTGAGTGCACCCAGCATCCTTGCAATGCTCAGCAGGAATGGAGCCCAGTGCAAATGTGGCACAAGCAGTGTTCCTCCTTGTGCTGGCCTTGTGCTGCACATGATGCATCATGTGATGCAGAAGAAGGTTGCTGCCTGCACCACCTTCATTCTATAAGTGTTCACAGAGTTCCTCTTGGCTCTGCTCACTTTCTAAGAAACAACCAAGCATGAGAGGAAGTCTGCAAATGCTGGAGCGAAGGATTGTATGGAGCTTTGTCACAGCCCTACTTTTAACAGCATACTGAAATGACAACAGTGCTGATACCAAGCAAGCCTCAGTGGAGAGGTTGTTCCATTATCAGGAGGCTACTACCCAAGAGGCCTTCTCTCTTGGTGCTACCCTCAGAGGAGTCCCTTGGAGGAGAAGTTCAGGTGACAACTGTAGTTCATGAATAGGTTGATATCTGATGAGCTCTCCATCAGTTGTGGGGGTTCTTGGACCATGTAAAGTTTTACACAAGCTGCAGCTTCTGGATTGTCCCTTAGGCAGTCCCACATTCCAAGCACTGCAGTAATCTAACCTGGAGATTGCCAGAGCATAGACTACTGAGTCATCCCAGCTGAGACAGGGGCATAGCTGGACCACCAACTGATACTGCTGAGGAGGCCTAAGCTTCAAGTGATAAAGACAGCCTCATGTAAACCCCCAAGTTGTGAACCTGCTCAGTCAGGGGGGTCCAGAAAAGGATGGGCACCCTCAATCTAGTCAGGACAACCACCCATCACCATCTTGTATAGATTGAGCTTCAGTTTTTAGCCTTCCTCCAATCCATTGCTGCACTGCGGCAGCAATTTTGCACCTCCATAGCCTCACCCGCCGCTCATAGCAGGCATAATAACTGAGTTATGCTTTCTCCTTATTTACATTCAAGGTGCTTCGTTGATAATCTCTTGAATAGCAGCAAAGCCCATTTGTCATATAGTGTGCACAATGAGCAAGCTACCACTCATTTTAGGAAAGAAGGAGAGAAATGAAAAAGAGCCACTTGGCACCTAAGCCAGAGTTTCAGCTGTTCCAAAACAGGATAATGCATTGGCCTAACCTCAGGGAGGGATGGGCATCGGTCACCCCCCTCTGACCTAAATGTCATTTTATGAATCCCATTAAATGTCACTTGTGATATCAGGAAGGACAATGCATTTCTTCTGAAAAGCTTCCTTTGTGGTGGGAAAGCAATAGGTTAGACAGCAAGTACAGGTTGGTGTGGAAAGGCTTGATGACAAAATAATGGTGTTTGAGCAAGCAAGAAAAAGAGACAAAGAAACTACAAAAGAGGAGGACAAGTATCACAAAACAAAAGAGAGAACATTCTCAGGTATCTGAGGAACACATTTGTTCTGTCCAATGTGCATTGGGGGGAAAACGTTTTTTCCCTTTCTTAGTGGCCACATATTTCTTCAGAAGCATTTACATGTCTCTTCTGTGTCTTTCCTTTCAAACCTGCTTAATAACAAATCATGGTTTCCATTTTTTTTTATCATGTTGCAACTTCTATGCAAGTGAGAAATGCCCCAGTTATATGTGACTTACAACAAAATACATAGCACTTCAATGTGTGTTGGAATATTCTGAAGATTCTTACAGTTTTATCATGCTTAGCATTATTTACATTAAGTTCAGATTTTCCTATCAGCATATTTCTTCAAGCCTCCTGCTTGCTGTCCAAAATTTGTATCACACAAATTGTTCAAATTCTACCTTCCATCCTTTCTTGTGAGGAATTGACATGCCCACAGGTGGGAGGAATAAGGCATGATAAAAAGAACACAAGTGATGGAAAGACCTGGCATGCAGTATAAAACCAGACCGAGGAAAAGCAGAAAGGTCCAAAGGTTGGGAGTGGAACAGAATCATAACAAGTGATGAAGGAACAAGGTACAAGAGGGTGGGATCCAGAGAAGTATAATGTGCACCCCACTCCTGAGTGGGGTTGTTTCTCCCCTCTCTGCTCCATTGCAGTTCTTCAAAAATCTGTTTTGAAGGTGCAGATGACTCACTGGAATAGTGTAAGGTGGCGCATAGGACTACATCAGAAAGGGGTTGTGGCAGAATTTGGGGGTGGGATATCTTGCTATTTGAAGAAATTACAGTACATGTAGAAGAGCAGAGAAAGTTGGAATAATGCTAGCACTTATCGAGAATAAGCTGCGGTTGCTCTTCAGCTTCTAAATGTTTCTTTTCTGTTCTCCATAAACTGCAGCCGCTGGCATTAATAATTGAGGTATACTTGGCAAGCACAATTTACTACACAACCTGAAGCCTTGCTTTTTCTTCAAATCTAAATTTTAAATACAGTTTATCTTGACATCCCTTCCGTATAGCTTCCCCTTGTTGGGTGAATTGAAATACATATGGAAATGTGTTTGCATTATTTTATTTATTTAGTTGAATTTATTACCTGGTTACATTGCAAGGCCACAAAATACATGGATATAATATTTGCAATGCCTGATCTGAACATCTCTGGAGAAGGACATGCCAGAAGCTAAGGGCATTTCTTCCATGACCCAACATTTAGGAGTTCCTCAGCAATTCTCCAGGTTCTCAGTTGTTAATTTTAATGCTTATAACTCTTCCTTAAAGTGAGATAAGAGAAGATGAATTGGGTGCAATTAGGCAGCCAACGCGTCAAATGTTTGTGCCATTGTGAAACCGAAAAGGCTGAGTGCAGAGAAGGGCTGAATTTGTAGATATATATTAATGCACTCCAAAATTATGAGAAAGCAGCTAAGCAGCAGAATGACTGAGAAGACTGCTTTAAGATGCACCCACAGTTGAATGAAAACCACGCATGCCTGTAGGGGGCTTTGGCTCTCTGAGGTCTAAGTAGCTGTGTCTCCCCCCCATCTTTACTCTATACCCACCCCCATGCTAGGGTTCCGAACCAAATCGGGCCCCTAACCCTACTCTAGCATAAACATAGAAAAATCAGAGCTACTAGTTAAGAATTTAAATTAGGTTATCTTTTGGCTGTATTATGTGCCTTGAAATAGAATACCCTAAAGAGCTTTAATACTTCCTAGAAATTTGACTCAGGTTCAATTTACTTAAGAGGGGAGGGGAGGGGAGAAGAGAGATGGCATTTCGGCTGACTCAGAATGGAAAACAATAGCAAGAACAGGATCTGCATTTTTCGCCACATTCTAGATATAAGGAGTTTCAGGATTTGCTTCATACACTTTAAAAGTTTTCTAGAGAAGGAAAAGCAGAGCAGAATGCAGAGGCACATATATATTAGAAAACAGTAATTTGTTTTTGTCATTGTTTATAATATATAATAATGAGTTTGACTGTTCTGCATATGAGAAAATTAGACCATACAGTGACTGCCTAAAAGTAGGGGAAAGATACTAGCTATGCAAGAAGAGATGCCTGTTATTTATGAAGTATTTCAAACCAATTCTTATAATTTTTCATTTAATCATGCTAATGAATCAACTAATATTCAGTGCACAATGTTATTTTTTGCTATTAAAATGATGTAATCATTTTTTCTGGCCTTTCATTTAACTACGAAGGCATTTTATTTTGGGAATAGGTGTTTTTATATAGCTATTTATATTCATTCCACTTCAGATGCCTTTAATAAAAGCAGACTTAATTGAATTTTGATTCCACCTCTACTCCCACCCACCAAAAAAGCTTGTGGTACTGAAACTGATTTGATATATACTGGTGGCAAACTATTCTGAATAGACGTGGCTTGTATAATACTCATAGCAACATTTGCATCCTATGGTACATATTGTATCTCCTTGAGAATCACCTCTTATCATTCCACTTTTTGCATTTAAGATTTATGATATGAAGCATGCTTCCATAAAAGCCATGAAGAGGACAACAGCTGCAATCCAAAGAAGATGTTTAAGTGCATCCAGAAAAACAAATCATGAAGTCAGGGAGGCTGAGGACCACCACATCCGTAGACCTCTCTGTCCAGTGAAGATTTCATTTTGAACATTGTAAGAGCTATCCATGGTGCTCCCTGGTGGTGAACCTCTTTTGGGGATGCCATTCAGCATCATGGACAGCTTCTCTAATGCTCTGAATGGCAGCTGCGGTGGATAAGGAGCCCCACTGACACCTGCCAACCTCCCCTGCATAAAGTAGTCTTTAATGTTTTCACTGCTGCTTCTCTCTCAAATGGTGGCTAAACAGCAGCAGAGAAAAGTACAACCTGGATGCAAAGAACAGTTCAACTACTTCATCATTTTTCAAGAAACAGCCGCTGATCCCATGTAGCATGCTGCTTCCGAAACTGAGGCAATCTTCAAAAAACCATGTGCAATGGGCTACAGGAATTAACTTTTAAATAGGAAAATGAAGGAAAAATTCTTCTGGGATCAAAAAGAAATGTTTAGGGAGATGTCCAGGAGCTCC